TATTTTTTGCATAAGAATCTCCAAATCTGTTACAAGAAACGATATGATTTAAATTTTGGTAAAAAAGTAAAATATGATACGAAAAAAAAGGAATTCAAATTTCGCCATAAGAATCACCAAATTTGTTACAAAAAAAAAATAGGATTCAAATTTTGTTACTAAAGATTTACATGTATTTTTTCAAACTTTCCATTAATAGTAAGCCAAACATTATATTTATTTGGTCAAACTTTTTATTAAAGTACAACAACCTCTTTATATAGATATATAGATATAGATATAGATATAGATATTTTTTAAAATCGAGTGGTATAAATGCAAATTGCCCTATCCATTTTTGCTGGAAAAAATTTATAACTGCCCCTTTTAACAATGATTTTACAAAACAGTTGTAAGCCATACACAATACCCAATTTACTCCAAACATTAGACAAAATAGGCAGACATGAAAAAAAATTAAAAATAAATTTCAAATAAAGAATTGAAAACTCAACTGCTCTCATCATCTCTCTCTCTTCCTCTTTTTTTCTTCTCTCTCTTTCTTCTCACTCGTACATCTCGTCCCACTTTTTCTTCTCTCTTATTTCCTTCTTTTTCTTCTTATTCTTCTTTAAAAAATTAATACCTAATAATAAAAAAAATGATCAATATGATATATATACACGTAATAATTAAATTAAATAAAAGCATGAAAAAATTATTAAATTAGATTAACAAAAATAATAACAATAATAAAAGAGAATGGATACATATAAATTATAAATTACAGAAATTAGATGAATACGAAGAATTAAAAAACATTCGATGTAACAAGAAAATAATAACAAAACAACAGATAATCAACATGAAAACAACATTTAAGTAACATAAAAGCAAGTATTATCGCATAAATCAAAATGCACGTTTAAAGAGCACTCCATAATCCATATATACTCATCATCAGATCCCATGGCTTTGAAACTCGAAACAGACTCAATATCCAAAGACATCAACACACAACAAATTAGAAAAGTAGAGAACAAATTGGAAACCCAATAAAAATTGCAACTTATTATAACCACCGAACACCATGAAAATAACTATTGATCACCATAAAAAAGCCCAATATACAATACTGAAAATCACAAACAATGTGTAAACTCACGCATCGTGCATCACCATATTTATTAAAAAATATCGACCCTAAAAATCCTATAAATTTCGACTTCGATTACAAAATTGAGAAATTTCCAAAACCGAATCTTGATTCTACTCCCAATTGTATGCGCGCTACCAAACCGCTGAGCAAAACCGCAATTTGCCTAATTTGTTCTGCAGTGACACCGCCACGATGATTTCATGATCTCCACCATTAAAGACGGAGGACAGCTAGTCGACGTCCTCCGCGGACGCGTTGAGTGCGAGTCAGTGGTAGCTCTAGCCAGCGCCGGCAGACCAACGAACAGTGTATCCGGTCGCCAGATCTCAACGGTTGAAAGATCAGGGCGAGGCATTCGTCGGGGATCTCGGACGAGTAGTTGATTTTCGGCTGATATATTCACGAGAGACGCACTGTCGATCTAGGCGGCTCGTTGCCTTCCATCTGAAATCGATTACACTCATATAAAACCCTCTGCAATCAATTCGAAATTCATGAGTGTTTTTGTGCGTGTGAGAAAAGAAAAAGGAGAATTAATTTAGAGATGTTATAAAATACGGGGAATATAAAGAACACAATGTATAAAAACTGGATCAAAATTTCAGAATGCTATTCTTTCTTCCTCACTTTTTCCTTCACTTTCGTACATCAAATGCTACACATTTCTTGCCTTTTATAGGCTAAGTTGGCACACCTTTCTATACATATATTAATATAATAATGAAAGTGATAATGTGGTTAATTCCACATATTTACAATACTCCCCCTTGGAATTACCACAATTAAATGTGCGTTTATGCTGCCTCGTTAAAAACCTTATCTGGAAAAACCCTGCGGGAAAAAAACCGAGATAAGGAAAAAAGAGTACAGCCGCACATACTCCCCCTAGAATTATCATCCGTGCAAATCCCGAAGATGCCTCATCCCAATATTGTGCACGTGCTTTCGAAATATTGTCATCGGAAGCGCCTTCGTAAACAAATCTGCTGCATTATCGCTTGATCGGATGTATTGAACTTTGATTTGTTTGTTTCGTTCAAGCTCTTGCGCATATAAGAATAACTTTGGCGGGATATGTTTAGTTCTGTCACTCTTGATGTATCCTTCTTTGGTTTGAGCGACACATGTTGCATTGTCTTCGTATATCACCGTCGGGTCATTATTGTTCGATAGTCCACTGGCTTGTTGAATATGTTGAGTCATGTTTCTGAGCCAGATACTTTCCCTACTTGCTTCATGGAGTGCAATGATCTCAGCATGGTTTGAAGACGTCGCGACTAATGTTTGTTTTTGGGAGCGCCAAGAAAATGCAGTTCTTCCAATCGTAAAAACGTATCCAGTTTGAGATCTTGCTTTATGGGGATCTGAGAGATATCCTGCATCTGCAAAACCGATTATTTCATGTTTTTTATCGTTAGAGTAAAACAGTCCCAAATCGATTGTCCCTTGGAGATAACGGAATATATGCTTAATTCCATTCCAATGCCTCCTTGTAGGTGCTGAGTTATATCTCGCCAACAAGTTGGTAGCAAAAGATATATCTGGTCTGGTGCAATTTGCAAGATACATAAGAGCCCCTATTGTACTCATATATGGTATTTCAGGACCAAGTATCTCTTCATCTTCATCACAAGGTCGAAATGGATTTTTTTCGACATCTAATGTTCGATTGACCATTGGGGCACTAAGTGGATTAGCCTTGTCCATATTGAATCGTTTCAGTATTCTTTTAGTGTAATTAGATTGATGGACAAATATCCCATTTTGGACCCGTTCTATTTGCAAGCCGAGACAAAATTTGGTCTGCCCGAGGTCTTTCATTTCAAATTCGCCTTTTAGTAAAGTGACTGCTTCTTGAATTTCATGTGTAGTCCCAATAATATTAAGATCATCGACATAGACAGCAATTATCACAACTCCATCTTGTGATCTTTTTATAAAAACACACGGGCATATTTGATTATTTATGTATCCCCGTTTAAGCAATTGTTCACTCAAACAATTGTACCACATACGCCCGGATTGTTTCAAGCCATACAATTATCTTTGCAGTTTTATCGCACATAACTCTTTAGGTTTGGACTTTAGTGCTTCGGGCATTCTAATTCCTTCTGGAATTTTCATATAGATGTCAGCGTCTAGTGATCCATATAAGTAAGCAGTTATAACATCCATAAGACGCATCTCAAGATTTTCATGGATGGCCAAACTAATCAAGTATCTGAAAGTAATCGCATCCATAACAGGGGAATATGTTTCATCATAATCGATCCCAGGCCTCTGGGAAAATCCCTGTGCTACAAGGCGAGCTTTATATCTTGTGATCTCATTTTTCTCATTTCTTTTTCTGACAAAAACCCATCTGTACCCAATAGGTTTTATGTCTTTAGGTATAATGGTAATAGGTCCAAACACCTTTCGTTTATTAAGCGAATTTAACTCGGCTTTAATAGCACCTTTCCACTTCTCCCAATCATGTCTTTTCTGACATTCAATCATAGACTTTGGT